AATAGAGCTGGGAAGTGGAAGGCTGAGGGAAGAGACACTGCCAGCCGCCATCAGGATAAGGAAGATGTAAAGTACCGGTAAGCCACAAGCCACGTGGCAAGGTATAGATTAATAGAAATGGATTAATTTAAGCTGTAAGAACAGTTAACAAGAAGCCTGCCACGGCCATACAGTTTGTGACCAATATAAGTCTCTGTGTTTACTTGATCGGGTTTGAGCGGCTTGGGACTGGCGGGTGAGAGATTTGTCCAGACTGTGGGCCAGGCAGGAAAACTCTAGCAACAGGAAACTGTAATGGGGCTGGAAAAAAATTAATTAACAATAAAAAAGAAGGTGGGATTGTATGCTGACCATCTCATAAAAATGAACCTATTAAGTATGTTTTTTATGTATTTATTATAGAAGGCAAAAACATTTCATGTTCTCTATCTTAAATTTTTAAGTGAGCTCTATCTCTCAATTTCTTAACCTAAGGATAAAAAAGTATTAATTTCACTTTTATTGATATAATTACATCAAGAATCCTCAACAGAAAAACAAGCATCTTTATTTGTTTATTAAAATAAAATGTTATATATGTATTTTACAAAATGATTATCAAAAAATTCTAAAATAGGGGACTTCCCCTTAAAAATGATTAATATATATTGTTATCTGTCAGAAATTTTTATAATAGTCAATAATTTATATTAAAGCCATAAATAAAACTAAATAAATATGTCTCAAACAATATTTCATATTAATAAAATTAATACATATTGTCAATAAAATAGATATTTCTAGAAACTATGCTTGGTGTGTATGATTAATCAATTTCTATAGTAATTTCACTACTAGAACATTTTAGAAAATAGTCATCTGATAAGAATTTATTAAAGCTTAAACTGGTTGATTTTGTGGATAGGTAGATGGCTGATCTACCATAGGACCAGGTTTTGATCCCCTGCATCCACATGGCTGCTCACAATCATCTGTAACTCTAGTAACAGGGAATCTGAACCCCTCTTCTAGCTTCAAGGCCTATATTAGGTATGCATGTAGACATATATGTAGGTGAAACACTCATATACATAAATAAGAAATTATTAATAAATATATAAGTAAATTGGTTGGTTTCATGATATGTAATAGAAATTATTCTTCAGGCTATAACAATTTACTTTCTTTCCTCTACCATTATTTTAACTACAAATAAATGGCTAGAAATACAAAGTTGATCAACAAGCTAAGTTTACATGAAAGCAACTTTTAGATCTATTGATAATTCTGAATTCCATAGTATTTATAGCTTTCATCTTGTATATAGTACTCTTATCTAAATATTTTTTCTGGTTTCTCAAAACTAAAGAATTTAAGACAATGTGGTACTTTCACCCATGCATGCTAAGTATCTTAAGGCTGAAGGTATTATAGATTATGTAAAGAATTAGAAATATTTAGAATGTGTGGAAAGTTTCATAGGTCAGATAGGATAATAATACAACTTTTCTAAAGCAACACCAAAACAGAGCAAAAACCATAAAGATATTCAACCTTTAACCTATCATCTTACTTCTGAGCCCAAGACTAAAAGGATGAGAAGTTGAAAACATCAAGCTATGCCAAGCAGGATCCTACATACACAAAGTAATGGATAAGAGTGGAAAGAATAATTGATGTGACAATAGCATATGAAATAAAAATAAAATACAAAGGAATAGCGAGATGGCTCAGTGGTTAAAAGTTCATACTGCTCTTTTAGAGTACCTAAGCTCTGTTCCCAGCATCCTTGTTGGGAGGCTCACAACCATCAGAAACTCCAGCTCCAGGGGATCCAATGCCCTCTTCTGACCTCCAAGGGCACCTACACCCTTGTGCATACATATAGATACACATAATTTTAAAATAATAAAAATAAATTTTGACAGAAACAATAATTACTCATGGAGATCTCATTTGTTTCCCCTTCCCAAGGTAATCCATGCATCCCTCTTAGGGTCCTCCTTGTTTCCTAGCTTCTCTGGAGCTGTGGGTTGTAGTCTGATTATCCTTTGCTTTACATCTAGTATCTACTTATGAGTGAGTACATACCATGTTTGTCTTTCTGAGTCTGGGTTACCTCACTCAGGATGAAATTTTCTAGTTCCATCTATTTCCCTGCAAATTTCATGATGCCATTGTTTTTACTGCTGAGTAGTACTCCATTGTATAAATGTACCACATTTTCTTTATCCATTCTTTGGTTGAGGGGCATCTAGGTTGTTTCCAGGTTCTGGCTATTTTGAATAATGCTGCCATGAACATAGCTGAACATGTGTCCTTGTGGTATGATTGGGCATCCCTTGGGTATATGTCCAAGAGTGGTATTATTGGCTCTTGAGGTAGATTGATTCCCAATTTTCTGAGAAGTCACCATACTGATTTCCAAAGTGGTTGTACAAGTTTGCACTCCCACCAACAGTGGAGGAGTGTTCCCCAAGGTCCAGGTATCTAGTCCAAGAGAGGGAAGGGGGATTATATGAGCAAGGGGAGTCAAGAGCATGATGGGAAAATCTACAGAGACAACTGAACCAAGCTCATAGGAACTAACGAACTTTAGACTGACAGCTGTGGAACCTGCATGGGACCAGACTAGCCCTCTGCATACAGGAGACAGTTGTGTAGCTTGGTCTGTTTGAAGGACCCCTGGCAGTGGGATCAGGATCTATCCCTGGTGCATGAGCTGGCTTTCTGGAGCCCATTACGTATGGTGGAACACCTTGCTCACCCTTGCAAGGGGGAGGGGCTTGGTCCTGCCTCAACTGAATGTACCAGGATTTGCTGACTCCTCATGGGAGGTCTTACCCTTTTGGAGGAGGGGAGGAGAGGTGGGCCAGGGTGGGGGAGGCTGAGGGGAAGTGGGAAGAGGGGTGAGAGGGGCAATCTGTGGTTGGTATGCAAAATGAATTTAAAAATTTTTATTAAAAAAGATACAATAATTAATCTTAAAAGTAAAACTAAGTAGCAACATGAAAAAGTTTATGACATGATATTAATAGCATCTACAATGTAATGATAATGATGTAAATACATATTCATGGACATAAGGACCAAATAGTCATACAATGATGAAAATAGTTACTGCTAATGTTCATTAATTTTTAATCTTATTAATATGTTACTTTATATTTAAATACAAATGAATTACTTATTAATTATACCAGCTACTTTCTAAGAAGGCAGTACTACTAAATCCATTTGAAAAGTTAGAAAGATTTTAATGAGTTTTACCTACATTAGGTACCCTGATAAGTCATCACCACTTTGGTGGCTCACAAAATACTTTAGGTGCTTGATTTTTTTTTTTTCTTCAGGTGCTTTCTTAAATAGTATAAAACAATAGAAAGTAGGTTATGAAAGCAAAAAGGCTCAGGAGATTAATTACTTCTATGTGTGTATCTATACACGTGAATATGTATATGTTTGTGCATAGATGTATATATGTGTATATGTATATATGTGTGTATAGACATGCATGTGTGCATAGGTGTATATATGCATGTAAATATGCCTGAGTGCATGAATTCTACCTATTATGCCATTTAAATCATTAGTATTACAGATTCTCTCAAAAATTCTTAGAACAGTAAACATGTGCTGTATATTATAAGTTCACATTTTAAAAAATTTTGTATTGTTTATTAATTTTATTTTCATGTATGTTTTGCCTGCATATATGTATGTGAACCATGTGTATGCTTGGTGTCCATGGAGGTCAGAAGATGGTGTCTAATCCCCTGGATCTAGAGTTACAGATGGTTATAAACCACCAACTATGTGGGTACTGGGAAACAAACCCAGGTTCGTGCAAGACCAACATGAGCTCTTAACCACTAAGCCATCCCTGCAGCCTTTTAGACCACATATTCTGATCCCAATCACTATGCTAATAGCATAAATCAGAGAAGAATATAGAGATTCAAAGGCTGGGGTTCCCAAAAAGGAATTAAGATGAATTTGAAGTTTAAATTAAAAAAAAAAATTGGCAAGTGTGGCACTATCAGAGGCTAGGTGGAAGAAAGAGGATACAGGAAAAAGTACAGAGAGCTGGGTACAATCAATAGGGAGTGGTAGGGACTATGGCAAAGTATAAAATCTACCCCATCTAACAGCACAGCTGGCAATCGTGAATACAGACCCAGCCTCGAGCTGCCACATACCCCAAAATCTTTCAAAAGGCCAAAACCACAGACATTTGTGTGAAATTCCTGGTCTTGTAACTGCTAGCAAATATTTTAGCTCATTTTAATTTTATATTTCCTGCAACAGACAGGCAATGGCTGTCCTTGTAGTTATTTTGTTTCATGGACTTGTTTTCTACCTCTGATCTGTGCAGGGACTTCACAAGGGTTAGTCTATATTTACAGGGATAGTCTATATGAGGCATAAACTATACTTTTATTTAGACCTTTACATAGGGAGAAAAAAGAGAAAAGGTACAAAACAATAAAGCTAAAGTAAACTTCGGAGCACTTGTAAGTATCAAGTGTCACTATGAGAACAAACCTGAATGTTCCCAAGGAGCAGAGCTGTCAGAGATTTAGACATTCTGAGTCACTACAAAAAGAAATTATCCTTAAAAGCGTGTTATAAATATGGCGCCCTTTGCTGAAATTATACTGACAACGTTCAGAGAAAACAAAAACTAACCAAGACGGGACAGGTATAAACTACAGAACTGTAGACGGGATGCACACATGTCCTGTGTTGTACCTGCTGCTCACTTCTCTTTGCCTATCCCATTCTTCCAACCCTCCTTCTCCTTCCTAGGCTAATGGAAAGAAATTACTGGAGAATGCTAAGACATGCCTGGTATCTGGCTGTGGAAAGAGAAAACAGGATGCTAACTGTAAATGAGCTTTCACTTCAGTGATGGAAGTCCCATGTTGTCACAGTTCAACTTGCAAGGTGGGCTGAGTAAGAGGAAAGCTGTCTACTTAACTGTCATTTGCATCACATGCACCCAAGGAAAAAGTGTTTACCTGGTGGAGCCACGGTTAACCTTTTTTCCTTGCTGAGCCGATGCCCTTGGATGAGTTCACTCATGGAAGGGGAACCCTTCAGAAGAAATGATTCTGTGGAGGTGGGATCAGGGGGAACTCTTAATAAATTCTGTAGGTAGGAAGCCCCTGAAGTCCTGGGACGGCTCTGATCACAAAGGGAAGGTGAAAATTGTCTTGCAGGAGATCCAAGAAAAATACATATAGGAAACAAAAAAGTTTTACTTTAATTACCTTTCAACACCTCACCAGTGACAACATCATTCATATTGGCATTTAATTATCTTTTAAATATGAAAGTCAAGATTGTTTTGTAATTCTTTAGTTTCCATATCAGGATACAACCCTTTTTGAAATCTACTCTGAATACTGGAATAGAAATTTATTATAGTTAGACAGTTTGAACTACAAATAGAAAATATATTTATTATTTTTGATTCTTAAACAAAAGCTCCTCAAATAAAAAAACTTTAACTATATTAACTGAAAACAGGGCAAGTAACTCAACAACCAGAATTTGGTAAAAGGTTACAAAATCAAGTCACTAAAATCCTTAAAAGTGGTTTCTCAGCAATATTAACATGACTAATAAAAAAGTCACAAAAACTTGCTTTTAAGAAAAGGATTATACATATTCTATTCCATTTTATCAAATATAGCAATGACCTTTCAATTAGTCATCAGTTTTAGTCTTATGGACAAGTATTTCTCTTAGAGAACAAATTCATATCTTTGCCCCATGACAGAAAAAATGACAAACATCATAATTTCCAGAGACATGGCATTTAAAATTATAGCCCATGTTCACAGAGCTTCACTTTTTTATCTACCCGTTTTTAGATTGGAGGGTAGGGAGAGACATTTATGTACACAAACAGCAGCAAAAACATTAACAGACACTTGAAAATCATGTTATGGTTAATCAATATGTGTGGATGGGGTGGCAGAAAAACCAGCATTAGCAAGACTGATTAGTAGCTTTCACGTTTTTCTTTTCCTTCCCTTTCTCCATCCTACCCAACAAAAGCACATAATTTTTTGCAGTCAACTAAAACCTGTCCACTGTACCACACTATGACAATAGCTGCATGCATACCTTTTCCTCTGAGTGCCACTGCTGACCCGAATGGTGGGTGTCTGTGGGCCCTGACTATGCAGGAGGTAAGTGTCTATGGTAGGTACAGCTGCTGGCGCCTCCCCACTTACTTTAGGGCTGCCGATCTTGCTCTTTCCAAGTTTGCCTTTGCTGCGTCGGGACTGCTCATGGTCAAACTCTAAGTCCTCTAGCCGCTGTGTCAGGGCGAGCTTTTGCTGGATAGCCATTCGCAATAAAGTGTTTAGAGTCTTCTTCTCATCTTCTGCAGCTGCTAACTGTCTCTGCATCTCATCCAACTGTGTGACGTATTCATCACATCTGGAACCCAAGCAAAAAAGGGTGAGGAAGCAATCCTGGTGAAGATAAACTGTAACTTAATTAGAAAGGTATTCCTCTTACCCTCAGCCCAGATATTGATGTCCACTCTAGAATCAAAACCTTTATTATTCAATACTGTTAGAATGGTGATATACCAACATTATATTATATTATTATATTTAATAATATAATTTAAGCTTCATCAGCGGCATCTACATACAAGGGAAACAGTAATCTATAGGGCTTGGTACTAGTGATTTCAGGCATCCACTGGGGGTCTTGAGATATATTCCCCCATAGATAAAGAGAACTAGTATAATAAATTTGACTGAAATTTAGAGCATTGATCTTCCTAGCAATAGAATGAAGATACTCTATAATAATGTGCTGCAGGATATTTGTTTACATTATGTGAAGATGTGTCTATGTTTGCCTCACCTACCAGCACCTGATTGGTTTAATAAAGAGCTGAATGGTCAATAGCTACAGGAGAGAATAGGCAGCACTTCCAGGCAGAGAGAGGAGCTCAGAGTTAGAATCTGGTGCAGCAGCAGATGCCAGCAAGACATGGAGGGAGCTGGACATACAGAATGGAGGAGAGGTAAAAAAGTCACGTGGCAGAATGTAGATTATTAGAAGCAGGTTAATTTAAGCTTTAAGAGCTAGTTGGGAACAAACCTAAGCTAAAGGCCAACCTTTCATAATTAATAACAAGTCTCCATGTCATTATTTTGGGGCTGGGGGTCCAAAGAAAGACTAGCTCTAATAGTCAATAGACAGTTGGAAACAGTAGACCATGTTCAGTAATTGGTGGTTCAGCCTCACAATGGAATCCATAAGGGGACATTCTAAATAAGCAGCATAAACCTCAATGATAGCTATTATGGAAGCTGCTTTGTGGTGATAATACAATTTCACATGTTCTTCTCCACTACTTTAGGTATATTACAATTGCTGTCTCTATTGTATAACACTGTATCCTTTGCAAAAAGTTTGTAATATGTTATATTTACAGTAGCCAAAAGAATAATAGTATTAATAAAAAGAACATTTCTTCCTTTATCTGTATTTACAGAGTTTATTTTAGATTACAGTAGACACTGCTTTTCAATATGGCAGATTTTCCCAAATTAAAAAAATCAAAGCTTCAATGAGTTTTTAGCCAAATAAAGTCATGAGTTGTCAAAAAAAAAGATTTTTAAAAGTTTGATTCAGGTACAGCAGGCTATTGGAAACATCTTCATCCCACTTCATATTTATACTGAAGCACAAAGACAAGGTCTGTGCTATTTCCCCACTGAAGTCAAAACCTGATTCCATCCACATACATTTGGAAAAAGTAGGGTGAGAAGAAAACTCACATGGATTTTTGCTGAGTTTAAGATAATTAGTAACAATTATTCTTCATGTATTAGCAGATAGCTAATGAGCTCAGAGAATTATTCAAAATATATTGTACAAACTAAAAGTAGCACAGTTTGATATATTATATAGAAAAACAAACAAACAAACCAGGGACTATGGTTAAAATATATTAAGTCCAGGGAGTAACCTTTAAAGTCAAGACTATGGGGCTACATAGATCATGAGAAAAATCACAGCTTATTGGAAAAAAATGAAATGAATTCCAGGACCTTGGATTAATTCTTTTTGGTATCTTGAAATTACTATACCTGAAAGAAACAAATGTCTGTGAAAATGGACTGCAAGGAGGTAATAATTAAAATATGAGCCAAATTGAGCATTTAAATATCACTTTAAATTTTTAAAATTTCTTTCTCAAAGAGGAAATATATGTTCTCTTAATTCTGAAGGTAATCCTGATTTCTTTCCTCAATAAGGTGACCTTGTCTCCCTTTCCATTCTTTGTCCTGCCCCCATAGTTATCAGAAATACACACATTCTAAATGCCACTGAATTTTGTGAGAAATCCAGAAGTCAGTTCCTGCCAGATTCCTTACAGCCATGTGATCTAAGGTTTCTCTTTACCATCTCCATGAGATTCAGTCACATGTAATCTTGAGCTCTAGAAACACATTTCTAATCTTAGATTTGTCAGAGTAGTATCTCATCATTTTCTTCATGAAAACCAAATACATTCATTCATGAATATTGACAGTGTTCTTCCCATGAGGAACACTCAATTTTAGGGAGAAAAAGTTACCTTGTTGCAAACATTGCTCTTAGAGATGAGAAGGTTGCAGCATCTTCTTTCAAAGCCTTCAGTTCGTTCCTTAGTTTTGTCATCGTTTCAGTCACCATTGCCTTCTCATTTTCATATTTGTTCTTCAGATTAGCTAGAGCCACTTCCGCTGTCTGAGGTATAAAATCACAGTGCTTACCAACTCACACCAGGAAAACCTGCCCACACATTTCTTTATGCCAAACCTATTCTTTGCTCTTGAAAATGGAAATAGAAATAGATTAGGTTGGACTTTTGCAAAAGCAAATGTATATGTATTATGTATGTATTGAACAGAGATGTGTCCTTTACTCTCTTTTCTGCTAAACAGTATTATTTTCCAGTCTATACATCAGGACACCCACACCCAGGTAAAACTCAACAATGGAAAACAAATCAGTCATGTTGAGACATCCTACTTATTCCAGAGGGATATGACCTATATTTAAGAAAATTCCCTAATGCTTCAGTTCTGACACAAGTAAACTAACAATTAACTATACATAAAGTTCATATATGTGGTCGGTGATACAGCTAGGCTTTAGGATTTGGAGGTGTTCTCTCTCTTCCTCTCTCTCTCCCTCCCTCCTCCCCTCTCTCTCACTCATAGTTCCAAACTATTTCATTTGTTGGTAAAGTCTGCTTCTGTTTACTCATAACCCCATAGCTGTGTTGTCCTTCATCCTTGATGCCATTACTTGATCATTTGGTTACTAAGTCTTATTTGTTTAAGCCTGAAATGAAAGACAAGACACCAAGTTTCCATCCTGTGACAGCCCTAGAAATTGAGTCTTAGAGTTGAATCTCCATCTCTAAAGTTGGGTCTAGCTATTGCCTGTCAGACCTCTTTCATCATGTCTGTGCCCACCTCCCAATCTCCCTGGTTGGCATTAGCTACTAGGCAAGCCTGTCCCATGATCCTCCATGGGCTGTTTCTATATTTCCTGGCCACCAAGCTTCTGCTTATCACTGCCTGGGTCTTGGGTTTATCTGCAGCTGGATCTCCGTACTTTACCTTCCTCACCACCTGTACTGCCTAGCTATGCACAATTGCTCTTCTATCCTATTCACTTCAAACTGCAGTTTTATTTTATTTTTATCTATCTATCTACCTATTTTATGAGAGAGAGAGAGAGAGAGAGAGATAGAGAGAGAGAGAGAGAGAGAGAATGAGTATCATGGCCCATCTGTGACAGACAGAACAACTGTGGGATTTGGTCCTTTTCTTCCACCATATGGGTTCTGAGGATTGAACTCAGGTCATTAGGCTTGGCAGCAAGCACCCTTATTACTAAGCCATCTCACTGATCCCTTACACACTTTAGAACTAAGACTACATTCTGATTTGCCTTGGGATGTACTTTGTTTTATTGCTCTATTGGCCAGGAATTTGAACACTTATCTTGGCACTACAGATTCAACAAAATTAAGGGAATAAATTGGTTAAGAAAGCTTTTACTAGTATGCTTTCATCAGCAAAAGTGTATTACCTGCTTATTGGCTTTCAACACCGCCCTGAGTGTGGCAATCTGCTCCCGTTTGGTACTCAGCAAGGACTTCAGCTTGAGAATCTCTTCCATTAAGGCTTCTTTGTCCTTATCAATCATGGGAGCCAACTCTCGGGCTGCTGCTCTTTGACGAGACAGCTGTAAGGATCTGTCCACTGCTTTCTGCAGATGCTTGATTTGGTCCCGGATTATGGCATTGAGGTTGTAGATATTCATTGGCTCTTTGCGGATATCACTTGTATCCAAAACTGGAGATGATGGTGGGGCAGTAATAACAGGAGAGATTGTGGGAGTCTTAGTTGGACTCGGCTCTTTAATAGTCTCTGTGTTTTCTTTTGAAACTGGTTCAGATGACGTCCTTGATTCTACTGGGGATGACATACCCCTCCTGGATAATCTTGGAGACAAAAGCCCCCTGGGATCATCAGGCCCCTTGAGGCTGCCACTGCGGGTAACTCTGCTTTGTCTGTAGTAGTCCAACATGACCCTGTTGGGAGTTTCATTATTACATAGACACACATGGTGGTAAAGCTGTGCTAGTTCCTCACTAAAGGTCACCAATTCATCCTGGGCTGTATTGAGGGTGTTGTGATTTTCATTGGCTATGCCAGTCATCTTTTGCAACTCCTTCTCCATGTGAGCCATCTTCTCACCACTCTCCTTAGATGTCTTCTCAAGGTTTGTCACTTGCTCATCATACATTTGGATCTTACTCTCATATTTTGTCTTTTCTTCTGTATAATTTTCTACAGATTTATTATATTTCTCCTTTAAGGCCTTAATTTCTGCTTTCAAATCAATGACCTCAGTGACAGCCACTCTATATTTGCACTCAAGGATCTCTAAGCCATTGATGTCCACCTCATAGTCATGGGCCTCCTCCGATGAGTTCCGGCCCCTCTGACAATCTAGCTCAGCCTTGAGTTCCTTGCTGTTCTGCAGGCCCCTCATGGCATTGACATGCTCTGTGAGCCGGTGCACTCGCTCATGCTGCTCGGTCAGTGCCCCCTTGGTGTGTTCTAGCTGGGTTTGTGACTCCTGGAGGTTGGCCAGAAGAATGGCTTTTTCTCGCTCCACCTGCAAAGGCAGAAGACAATGTCTGAATAACTTCAGTGCAAAGCCAATAATGAACTCAATGCAGGTGGACAGACATGTATACATTTAAAATGCCCAACTATCAGAGCCCAACACTCACATTATGTCAAATTAAATTCAAATATTTTCTTATTTTAGATTCTGGTAAGTTAACCTAAAAATACCTAATTCATAACATGGGATTTGATGTAAGCCAAGCCACTTGAATTTTTCATAAAAGAAATAGAAAATCTAAATACTTCATTGTTGGCATTATGATCTCAGTAAAAAAAAAAAAAAAAAAAAAAAAGCGGATTTGGCTGGGTGACAGTGACACATGCCTTTAATTCCAGCACTCGGGAGGCAGAGCCATGTAGATCTGTGAGTTCGAGGCTAGAACGAGATCCAGGACAGGCACTAAAACTACATGGAGGAACCCTGTCTCAAAAAAAAATAGATTTGGGGGCTTCTGTGTTCTTTTTTCTTTGAAAACTAAATTAATTCCCTCTAAAATTTAAGCATTAATTAAATAAACTAAAGTTTTTTCCAAATAGCCTTTCCTTCTGGAAAAGCCTTTTCATAAAATTTAATCAAAACAAAATTTGCTGGCTATGTCTTAAGCTTATTGTAAGGATAAAATATCTTGATAAATGAGGTAATACATTTAGAACAGTTTTGGGTCTGTTTTGTGTTTTGTTTGTGTTTAATATAACATTTTTTAAAATCTACTACTTCTTCATTATAGCAAATACAGAAAACATTCAACAGAACATGGGCTCTCCCCTGTGTGTTCTGTGTAGTTCTAAATCAATTAAATAAGGAATGGTACCCAAATTTTATATATTTCACACATATTTGTATATAGCTAGATAGATATGCATATATTCTACTATATGTTCCTAGACAATGCTGTTCTAATAGAAACAAGTCTATTAGATTACAGATAATTTCATAAAACTTCAGCATTATATTATCAATCAGTTATTGGAATTTAGAGTAGCTTAAGTTGTATTTGCATTTTGATGAATATTTGCTTTGCTTAAATGATCTAAGAGTCATTGCTCTCTGAATAAATGCAAAGTACTTCAAAGCTTAAACTGACTCTACATTTTTAGTATCGTTATCTTAAACTCCATTTGTGTAGAATTCGACCAAGAAAGACTTGATTGTATTCTTATATAGTGACTAACAACAGCCACTGATTCTCTATCTACTGTTCCATCTTATGTTTGGAGTTGGGGATTTTATTTTTTCCTGACTGTTGTATTTATAAAATATTTACTAAAAATATACAGTATATGACAACTATCAGTAGTGTTACATGCCATAGAATTTTTATTTTGTTAATGGCTTATTTTTTTTTATTTTTATTTTGCAATACAGTTCAGTTCTACATATCAGCCACGGATTCCCTTGTTCTCCCCCCTCCCCCCGCCCCCCCTCACCTTCCCCCCACCCCACCCCCCATTCCCACCTCCTCCAGGGCAAAGCCTTCCCCGCGGACTGAGATCAACCTGGTAGACTCAGTCCAGGTAGGTCCAGTCCCCTCCTCCCAGGCCGAGCCAAGCGATCCTGCATAGGCCCCAGGTTTCAAACAGCCAACTCATGCAATGAGCACAGGACCAGGTCCTACTGCCTGGATGCCTCCCAAACAGATCAAGCCAATCAACTGTCTCACCCATTCAAAGGGCCTGATCCAGTTGGTGACCCCTCAGCCATTGGTTCATAGTTCATGTGTTTCCATTCGTTTGGCTATTTGTCCCTGTGCTTTATCCAACCTTGGTCTCAACAATTCTCGCTCATATAAACCCTCCTCTTTCTCGCTAATTGGATTCCCATGGGGCCTAGCCATGGATCTCTGCCTCCAGATCCCTCAGTCGTTGGATGGGGTTTCTAGCATGACAATTAGGGTGTTTGGCCATCCCATCACCAGAGTAGGTCAGTTCAGGCTGTCTCTTGACCATTGCCAGCAGTCTGTTGTGGGGGTATCTTTGTGGATTTCTGTGGGCCTCTCTAGCACTTTGCTTCTTCCTATTCTCATGTGGTCTTATTTACCATGGTCTCCTATTCCTTGTTCTCCCTCTCTGTTGTTGATCCAGCTGGGATCTCCCACTCCCCCAAGCTCTCTTTCCCTCGACCCTCGCCCTTCACTACCCCCACTCATGTCCAGGCTGTTCATGTAGATCTCATTCTAATGGCTTATTTTTTAAATGAATGCATTTATATTTAATGAAAATATATGACTCTTGTGTGAAAGAACAAAGGAAAAAATAATCAGAATTCTTTTGCAGAGGGAGGTTGCCTCCCCAGCTGCTGGACTGCATGCAAGTCCAAGTATGGTGATATTTTATTTGTGCTGATATGTGATTTTATTGGTATGTTAATAAATAAAGTTGCCTGGGGATCAGAGCTAAGAGCAAGCCATTAAGCAGAAGGCTGGTAGTGATAGCACATGCCCTTAATCTGATCACATGGCAGGCAAAGTGTCTACGTGTTCAAAGGACACAGCCAGCAAGGTGACACATGCCTTTAATCCCAGTACCAACCATAGAGACCTGGAGGTCTGTATAGAAAGGCAGTGATGAGGAAGTCATGTGGTTGGGTTTAGAACCAATGAGAAGGCAGAACAGAAAGGCAATGAAAAGACAGGACACAGGAAGAAGGTCTCTCTCTCTCAGGGGAAGGACAGCAGTGAATGGTAAGATAAGGTGGTCTTAGCTCTTGGCTATTGTTCTTTGTGTGTGTGTGTGTGTGTGTGTGTGTGTGTGTGTGTGTGTGTGTGCTAAATGAATTTATTTTGAACATAAATATATTGTACATAACAGAGATATAGAATAATTACATTCTTACAATATTCTATGGCAATATCATTATGTACAGGCTTTACAAAATGTATCCATGGTTAGGCTCACTATTTTTAATTGAAAAGGAGAAATGCCATAAGCAAATTAATAATCCTGTAACAGCACCAGAAATGAATCATATGCTAGCCATTAGTAGAGACAGCCAAGAAAAGGGGAGGGGAATATTTGCATCAAACTGCAAAGCTCTGTGTGTGTGTATGTGTGCGTGTGTGTGTTTCCAACATGAACAGTGCATTTCTGATTAGGTTTTTAAAAGCCTAATGGCTGGCATAGTAGCACACATCTATGATCTCAGTACAAAGAAGGCTGAGGAACAAGGATTACAAATTCCAAGCCATTCTAAGCTACAGAGCAAGGCTCTATCCCAAAGGAACAAAGAAAAAAACAAATGAAAAATCAAAATATAGTAAAATAATAGTGGTCAATTTTATTGACCAAAAATACTAGTGGTCAAAATCTGAGAGATCACTTTGGATCAGTATTTCTCAAAGATGAATATAAAAACTACACAAAACGGACCCCTATTCAAGACCAGACAGAAGTGGGTCCACTGTAAACTGCTAGAGAACTTCTTGATTAATCTCTAAGAAAAGTAGTGTTTCCTAGCATTCCATTCTCCCCCTGGAGGAACAACTAACAACTACCATGTTTTTAAATGCTGTGAAATCTGGCAGTATTTATTGAAAATTTTTTTAATTTTATAATTTAATTTAATTTTACATATCTGCCATGGATTCCCCTGTCCTCCCCGCTTCCAGCTCCCCCAACCCACCCCCCATTCCCATCTCCTCCAGGGCAAAGACTCCCCTGGGGATTCAGCTCAACCTGGTAGATTCAGTCCAGGCAGGTCCAGTCCCTTCCTCCCAGGCTGAGCGAGTGTCCCTGCATAAGCCCCAGGTTCCAAACATTGGCTACTGTTCTTATCTCTGTGTTTTTTTTTTTTTTAATTTATTTTAATTTATTTTGCAATACAATTCAGTTCTACATATCAGTCACGGATTCCCTTGTTCTCCCCCCTCCCGTCCCCCTCACCTTCCCCCCAACGCCCCCCCCCATTCCCATCTCCTCCAGGGCAAAGCCTTCCCCACAGACTGAGGTCAACCTGGTAGACTCAGTCCAGGTAGGTCTAGTACCCTCCTCCCAGGCCAAGCCAAACAATCCTGCATAGGCCCCAGGTTTCAAACAGCCATGACTAGGCCCTGGGTGGAGCTCTGGGAGTCCAATCAACGAGAATGAGGAGGGTTTATATGAGCGAGAATTGTTGAGACCAAGGTTGGATAAAGCACAGGGACAAATAGCCAAATGAATGGAAACACATGAACTATGAACCAATGGCTGAGGGGTCCACACTGGATCAGGCCCTCCGAATGGGTGAGACAGTTGATTGGCTTGATCTGTTTGGGAGGCATCCAGGCAGTGGGACCAGATCTTGTGCTCATTGCATGAGTCGGCTGTTTATCTCTGTGTTTTTAACTCTTTATTTGGCTCTGTTTCTTATTTAATAAGACCGTTTGGAATTTCATCTACATTTGGTGCCCAACATGGGGCAAGAATTCATTAAAAAACCGTTGGTAGTTATGCCCCAGCTTGGCCCCAGCTTGGCCCCTGCTCGGCCCCTGCTAGGCCCCGGCTTGGCCCAGCTTGGCTCTGGCTTGGCCCTGGCCCCGCCAGGGCTCAGCCAGAGTTTACAGGCCCCAGGCCCAGCCGGAGCTACCAGTCCAGCTGCATGTGGTCAGAGCTGCACACAGCTGCAGCTGGAGCTGCTTGCGGCCGAATTGCCAACTCATGTGGTCAGAGCTTAAGGAAGCCTGAGCTCAAGCCTAATTGACTCAAATGGAATCACGTGGCTGGAATTCAGCTTTTAGCCAGAACGTGTGGCTACGCTTTCTCTCTCCCTCTCTCTCTCCCTCTCTCTCTTTCTCTCTCTCTCTCTCTCTCTCTCTCTCTCTCTCTCTCTCTCTCTCTGCGCAACCATGCTAGGTAGCTATTTTGAAATTCCCTTAGATTTCTACTGTTCTACACAGACTTGGTAAGTCAATTAAGGTATCAGATATTTTAAAGAGAAAAACTACTTAAAAGAGAAAATTTTTTCCACATTAAAAAAATGGGTATTATCTGTACAGTAGAAGAAAATTGGTC